GGGCTCTTTTGGCTATCAAAAACTGAAATAAACTCCAAAATCTTACTGGTCTGGCATATGTCAACCTCTTAGCCAGGAGAGCCTTGACAGCTGACACCATTTAGTTCAATGTGACAGGTGATCGGAGGGGCTGCTTTCAAATGACTTGTACGAGAAAAGTGTCTCTTGCAACCAAACAAACGAATTTCAACCGACACATTGGTGCGCAATATTCTTTTTTTCCATATTTTTAATGCGTGTGCCCCAACTGTGTTACTGTGACACATTTAGGGTAAATGACCTGTTCATGTAATGATGTGACCTACCAGATTCACAGAGTGATCCGTTGAATCCTGGAGCACAGTTGCATGTAAACATATTGACACCATCTACACACTCGGCACCATTCTGACACGGAATGCTGCTACAGTCATCTGTGTCTGCAACAACATCCACGAATCGAGGTTTAATCAAGTTAAGATAGAAACAGGGTCTACTGTTGGATAACTACCGACAGTACACTTCTCACTATATATATGGCATTTGGGAATTAATGTTACATAATAACAAATTCAAGCAACGGTCATTTCTTAAATTCTACTTAAAGTTGCACCTTAAAAACTGAGTTGTTTCAAACAAACTGTGGTCCCTGAAGAAAAGTAAGGAAAGACAAGTTTTCGAAAGAATTAAAAAATAATAAAATCGCATTGTTCCTACATAATTACCTTCGGGAAAGAGGTTCAGAGATAATGCAATCAGAAATATTTCAACAACTCTACATCACGTAAAGAAAAAAATCTGTCTTTCACAACAATCGTCAAAACATTGATGCTCAAAACGCGTCATGGTAATTTCACCCAATTTATAAATTGGTATTGATCGGCATGCAGAGAGTTAGAAAGGAGAAGTCTGGTAACCGGCAGGTACTCGATTGTTAGTGTGGATTTACCTGTCTGACAGAAGTCCCCCTCATAGCCTGGAGAGCATTCACAGCTGAAACCATTCACTTTATCATGACAGACACCGTTCAGGCAAGGATTGCTGCTACACTCATCGATGTCTGAGTAACATTAAACACAACTCTTCCCCATTCAATGCTTGGTTACCAATTAAATATAGGGAGTTACGAGAAAACATTTTTTAAAGTTTCAAATATCAGAACGCAAATATTTTACAAATTTACAGAATTATCCTTACGATAAAAAACGTTCAATCTCTGATTCTGTGCAATTGCTCCAGAAATCGAAAGTAGTTATTAGGCTTCAAATTAAGCTGGTAACCCACAAGGGCTCAGGTGTACTTGTTACTTATAACCGACTCGTATGAGCAAAGGGTATCACAGAAGGATTTTACCAACCTGTTTGACAGAGTGATCCGTTGAATCCTGGAGCACAGTTGCATGTAAACATATTGACACCATCTACACACTCCGCACCATTCTGACACGGGGTGCTGCTACATTCGTCAGTATCTAGAACAACATCAAAAATCACAAATTGTTTAATGATGCAGAATAATTCTTACATCCTAATTACAGAAGCTGCTCCCAAACTCCTACTTCAAAGGAATTATTTGCGGTTCAGTTTATAACCCGGGGTGTTTTACAAATGCTACAGTCACACCGTCGAAGGCATTGAGTCTCAGATGTGGGTTTGTGAAAACAAAAATATGCTATGCAACTTTAGAAGACGCAGAGTTCCCACACAACCACCTTCACGAAGAGCTTAGGAAAAGATATTTCAATTCACAGAAACCTATAGAGAATCGAATCATATTCGCAAAATACTGATGTTCTGAGCTTGC